TCATGCTAAAGTTTATATGAGGCTTACATAAACAGAATATGATCAAACCCTGAATATTGTTGTGCATGTAAACACAGTCTATGTATCCGATCTGAGTCAAAGCGTCAGTGCTTTATTTGGGTGATGCCAGACATTCGTTCACCCATTTCCATCTCGGTCCACGGAAAACCTAGCAATGATTATGTTTTTGGCTTTGATTATCATAAACCAATTTACCAGAAATCATTTTGAAAGATGTAAAGCATAAAGACTGCTCTGAACCCATTGATTTGCCACATATTCTGCCTGACAGCTGTAAGGCTGGGTATCTGAGCATAGATATGAGAACATGTTAAGAGGCAAAGATGTAACAAACTCCTGATCTGGGTGATGGAATATTAAACCAATCACAAAATATCACATGGAAACCAGATGTAGTTCAATGTAATAACAAATCTACATACACCCCTCTAGTTTCCTCTAGACATAGTAAATAGCACAAGTTTGCTTACAGAATCCCATGGATTTAGGAAATGTAGATGAAGGAAAAGAAAAAGACTGGTGCATACCACAGCATGCCTCCCTTTCTCTTCTCTTTCAATCCTTTATCCTGCAGCAGCAGTATAACCGGCTCAGAAATTCATCAAGATGAGGAATAGCAATAATAATAATAGTCCAGCAGTAGACCCATAAACGTCGGCGTTCACCTTCCGCAGCTGTCCGAACGCAATACAATCTCTTCTTTCAATGACTGATTGTATTCTGAAAGTTTTCAACAATCTGATTTGTGGTTCTCTTCCCAAATGCAGCACAAAAGACAAAAAAACATCGAGGGAAAACCCAGACTGGAATATCAGATCACTGTTTCTTGTTGGAAAGGAGGGGGCGTTGAAGGAGAGAGAGAGGGGGAAAAAACAGCTTTGTATCGTTGTGTCTTCCCTTGGGTTCACCACGTTGTTTCGGAGCACTTATAATTTCCTTTGTTGTGTCCAAAACATCCCGAGTTGTCCATGTTTATCAGACATTTCAGCCGTCAACACGCGGTCTGTGAGGAACAGCGCAAGTCTCCGACGGAAAAAAGGACTTCTCCTAGCATAAAGGCGAAATTCAGTGACGGAGCGCGTGTGAATGTGTGTGTTAATGTGTTTTTTCAGCTTCCCAATAATGGCGGCCCTTCTCCCGTTCTCGGTCTCTCCTCCCTCCTCTGTACTCTCGCGCATGGACACAATTACCGCACGCACACACACACACACACACACACGGTCACACACAGTATTTATTATAACGTCAGCATATGTATCTAAAGGTGCTGCTGTTAGTCCGGTGGAATCAGAATTGGTGTTATTGTTGTTGTTTTCTTACAAAAACAAATAAGATGCTTGTCAGTAACAAACATTGTCCGTATACAGAGGAGAGGATGGGACAATCTCAGCAACTATAAGGTTTTGAGTCAAAAGTCCAGTTAGCCTACAAAAAATGTATTTGATTATATGTTGGTTTATAAAATTAAATAATAAATCAAATCCAAAACATGAAATTAAATAATAATAATAATAATAAAAAAACGTTAAAGATTTTAAGTTTTTTTTTTGGTCCTGTTCCGAGAACAAGGGTAGGCTACTTTTCATCGTTGTCACCGATCAAGTTTTTACTAAAACTAAACTAAGAAATGTTAATTGAAATAAAGCTGAAATAAAATAAAAAATTAAATATGAATATTAGATGAAAGTCTTTTTTTTTAAGTGAGCACTAAAATTACTAACTGGAAATAAAATATATTATTTATTAAACAAAAACTAGCGAAATTTAAAAACAATAAAAAAAAACTAATAGTTTTTTAAAAGTACATACCAAAATAAAAACTAAAAAAACTCAAATTAAAACAGAAAATGTAAAAATACAAGCTCATTAATGATTTTGATCAAAACTAATTGTATGTATGTATTATAGAAATAATGCTTAAAATTAATTCTATACGCATTACAGAAATAATTCTAAACTATAATACTAAACTATACTATAGTAGCACCATATAAACAATACTAAAATAAAATTAAAATTGGATGAAAAGCCTATAATATGCTATTTAATGGCAGGTTCCACTGTGACAACTTACCCCAACAGTGGTAAGTGGAATATTAAATATAAGTGGAAGTGAACTTACCCCACTGGTGGTATTTAAACTTTCATCTGCATGACTTTATCTGAGGAATACAACTCATTTTTACTCAATCAAGACAAGCATCGTCAACAAATTCCACACCGTCTGACTTCCGCACTCACTGAGATTCTTGTGTATCTTCCAAACTACATCAAGTGTTCGCTGAAGAAATACCAGTCCGATCCAATTGATATTATGTTGTCAAGCGGGTTTAAAAACGATGCCCCTGAATGCAAGAAGTCAACACATCACTAAAAGGTTTCAGCTAAGGACCACAGTCTAATCTATTACACATGTGACAGTTGGGTAATAGAACAAATATACACCACTCATCAAGCACACAAACACCAATTTGGAATATTAAAAATCAACGTAGACTGTGCCAGATAAAGTCCAGGCAGAAATTCACAACAGTTAGATCAAGAATAATCTGAAAATGATTTGTAAGCGCATCATCATGAGTACTGACAGTTCAATATATCAGCCAACGAGCCAAGTCGATTAAAAGACTATTTATTAATAGGATCTTTAGTAATTCTGACATCTGCATTGGCCAATAACTGTGCCCACTTAACAGATTAAAAGATGTATGACGATACATACTAAATACTAAGACAATACTAAATCAAATTCACTATAAGAAATAAATTAAATATAAAAAATGACTACTTCTATTATCAGCCAGTAATCAGCCATGCCAATAATCTCCAATCATTGAATATTGGCCAATTAATGGCCTGAAAATATGGAATTTGCTAGTTGCCTTTACAAAACACTGTAACATCTGGGGTCTGAAAACCCTGCGGTCTGAGTGTATTGTTGATATAACTTCAGACCATGACAGTATATATACAACATAAATGAACATAACAGATTCACACTGTTTTTTATGAAACGTTCAGTACATGTAAACAGCTACTATGGCCATATTGAACTACCGTGCAATAATAGGTCAGGAATGGACCTCAAACCAGTTCTCCAGCCTGTTCTGAACGTACAGGGAGTAGGTCGCTACCAGCTGTTTTTGGAACGTCACCAGATAGAGGATTTTTCAACCAAACTCAAAACTTCCTAAACAAACTGTATTTTTTTTCTCTCTGTAACACAAAATGCCATTGAACTTACCCCACTGGTGGTATTTATTGGAATATTAAAATTGTGACAACTGACAAGCACTTTTCTGTGACATTTTTGATTAATGATTGACCCCATAATACAATATAATATACTTTCCCATGACTCGCCACAAAGTTTTTCTGAATTCTTCAAATGTTGTGCAGCCTTGTCATAATTGTTCCCTTTTTAAATAAAACAGTTTCAAACTCTATTGTCAAGGTGATAAACTATAGATTTGTTTCCACATACTCGTAATTGCCTTCAGCTTTGGCTCTTAAAAAGTTTCTCTTCAGTTCTTCCCATCTCACCATCATATTGTGAGTCCAATCAGAGAGAGTCGCTTGGGGTAAACGTTTAATAAAAAGTTCTCATGCCTTCTGTTTTTATCTATAAACAGGCCTACAAATCTATAGTGTGGTTTTAATATTACAGAAACAGACGCTAAATCCAGTTATTTGCAGTTAATCATAGCAGTATTTATCATGACACAGTTCAAAAAGAAAAAAAAAACCAGCAGCCTTTCACAACAAACTGCTTTTTGTGAAGTAAAGAAACTGCGAAGGTCTCAGCTCCCACCTCTAGACTGCAGCTGAAATATTTCTAAGTCCCAAGGGCCACCATTCTTCGCTCTCACAGTTGTGCAATCTCTTAACAATCAGAGCCCCAACCCCCTTCTGAATATGTGCAGAGACCCTGTCCAAGTTATCTGGACAATGTTCTGCAGAAGACAAACTTACTACCCTTAAAAAAAGCTGAAGTACAGAACAGAAGTGTGGTGATGTAACACAGATCTGGTTCTCCATTTTATATGATGTATCCAGAAATATGGCAAGAAATGCGTAAAAGGCTATGATGCATGCATTCAGACTGAACTCACTCTGCAGGGGCCATTAAATGCCATTGTTTTTTATGTGTATAGTTAAGCTGTTGGAATAAGTCTCACAAAAAGGCATAAATTAAAATGAGCAAAGATACACTCAAGCATTATCCCTCGTAATGTCTGTCTTATATAAAAGTTGAAACCAAAATAATAATAGCTAACATAATAATAATAAATAACATTATTGTTAATAAATTTAGACAGAACCGACAATTTGCACTTTCACAATTATACAAAAATAAATTAATTAATTAATTAAAATTAAATCTAGATCAGACCGTTAATAAAATGTATATATATATATATATATATATATAGCTCGATCTACCGATAGATAGATAGAAAGCCATTTATAAATAAATAAATGTATTATAAATAAATGTATAAAACAGTCTACAGCATTAAAACAAACAAACAAACAAACAAACAACGATATTTGAAAAAAATATTTGACATGACATATTTCAAATTGTCAAATGTCAAAATGTGGTACAAGAATTATGTATACATTTTTTGTAAGCTATTTACGTTGGGTACCCCTGGTTCTGTAAAGGCTGAACCCCCCTGGATTAATGTTCATAAAACCATTCATATTAATTCAGCTCTTCTATTATTTCAAATGCTTCCTGGGGTCTATTTTAAGGTCTTCTATTAACTATTAACTTTATTACGATAAATATATGTTAATTTAGTAACTAACCCAAGCAAAAGTCATATCACCTTTAAGTCATGTGCTATCCTTGACAGTTCAACCCCGGTGCAAGATTGTAATTGTAGTACGAAACGGAACCTTCTCTTGATTTCCTAGTATATTAACAGCTAGCTTACAAAACTACATTACCCATCATTCCTAGCACCAACGGCCTCTACTCGCATCCTGTCCGGTGACGATAGCGGGCGGCTACAGAACCAAACCCAGTCTGAGGCTGCTATATTTCGTAATTAAATCAATTAAACATTGATTGAAATAACTCAGACCACCGTGAACGATAAATACCGAGCACAATGGTAAGTGTAGATGCCTATTTTTGCTTGTTACGATCACTTATTTTGATTAGTTCGACTGTGTTCTTTTCAGCTAACAGGCTAGTGTGATATGTCGATTATAACAACACGACCAAGGTCATAAATCAAACTATATAGACATACTGACTATAATATCCAGAAGAAAAAAAAAAATCAGCCTTTCATTATTCTATTTCGGTTCAGAATAGGAAATAACACTGAATGAATGAATGAAGCTAAATGCTCATGGCTAGGTATTTGATGCAAGCTCTGTTTAATTTCTCTATTATATATCAATAATGTCTTTTCATATAAATAATACAGTACACAATACATCTCTAATGGCAGCTCATGCATCTTTAGCTATTAAAATAGTTCAATGCGTTGTCATTATTCATACAAACAGCATGTGGCATGTCGGGTTAATGCCTCTGTGAATGATTTTGGATGATTTGTGAGAATTAGGTCTAATCTTTTCTCCTGTTGTTCTTGTGCAGATTCGCTTTATCCTCATCCAGAATCGGGCAGGGAAAACCAGGTTGGCCAAGTGGTACATGCAGTTTGATGATGATGAGAAGCAGAAGCTGATTGAAGAGGTTCATGCCGTAGTGACAGTCCGTGATGCCAAACACACCAACTTTGTAGAGGTACAACACTTACTTTTAACATCTTATGCTTGCTGTGGTTCAGAGGTCAGTATGAATTGCTCCGCATTGTCCTTTGCATCAAAAAGTTATAAGTATTGAATACTTATAACTTATATAAAATTATATTTTATAATTTTTGAAATATGTATCCGTATGGGATTGGTAAAAACGTCATCACACATGTCATGTGTTGTTTTAAAGGTCTTATCTAGGAAATGTACAAATAAAGGTGTTTATATGTGGTCTTACATGTTATACATTGTATTCCTCTGCAGTTCAGAAACTTCAAGATCATTTATAGGCGATACGCTGGCCTGTACTTCTGCATCTGTGTGGATGTGACAGACAATAACCTGGCTTACCTGGAAGCTATTCACAACTTTGTTGAGGTAAATGAGGAGCTATCTTAAAGGAATAGTTCACCCAAAAATGAAAATTAGCTGAAAATGTACTCACCCTTGGGCCATCCAAGATGTAGATGAGTTTGTTTCTTGATTGGAACAGATTAGGAGAAATGTAGCATTACATCACTTGCTCACCAATGGATCCTCTGCAGTGAATGGGTGCCGTCAGAATGAGAGTCCAAACAGCTGATAAAAACATCACAATAATCCACAAGTAATCCACACCACTCCAGTCCATCAGTTAACATCTTGTGAAGCAAAAAGCTGCGTGTTTGTAGTAAACAAATCCATCATTATGGTGTTGTAAACAATGCTTGATCTGTGCATGGTTTTCTCCTGATTCAGATGAGAGAACTTTTTAACTGGAGAAATCAATATTATGGATAGAGGACTCGTATTTTAAGTTAAAAATGTGTTAATGATGAATTTGTTTATTACAAACGTGCACTTAATACATACACATTAATTGATGGACTGGAGTGGTGTGGATTATTGTGATGTTTTTATCAGCTGTTTAGACACTCATTCTGACGGCACCCATTCACTGCAGAGGATCCATTGCTGAGCAAGTGATGCAATGCTACATTTCTTCAAAACGGTTTAGATGGAGAAACAAACTCAATTCCATCTTGGATGTCATGAGGGTGAGTAAATTTATTTAAATGAATATATGAATATATATATATATATATATTAAGCTCCCACCAAATAACATCTAATGTGTTCTGCATTCAATTGAGCAGCTAAATGGTGTAATCAGCACGCTTCCTGAACACTGACTTGATTACGCTGCACAGAATCCATAATTAAAAACCTCTCTTATATGCACTTTTATTAATCGTAAGTCAAAATGAGATATGCAGACTCTTAAGAGAAGTGTAGGCTGCTAGCTTTGAAACATCAGGAGATTAACTTTAATGAAGGTCTTTAATGTTCAGCATGATAAATGTGCTTTGCATTGGTTTTTAAAAGTGATTGCCTGCTTGTTCTTCCTCAAATAACACAAATATCAGCATAATCAAGCTCTTAGTCATTAAAAGAAATACTGTAAATTAGGTCTGGGTGATGCATCTTGATATTTATGTATTTGCTCTAGTATGGCTTTAAGGGTGATTTTTATTTATTTTATTTATTTATGCATTTAGCAGACACTTTTATCCAAAGCGACTTAGTGCATTCAGGCTATACATTTTTTACCAGTATGTGTGTTCCCTGGGAATCGAACCCACGACCTTTTGCGTTGATAAAGCAATGCTCTACCACTGAGCCACAGGAACACTTTTTTTACCCCCAAACCTGCAATCAGAAGAGTCGTTATTTTGACCAAACAGCCACAGCTATCAAGCGGATTCAAAATGTTTAATGCAAGCAGTAAAGTATGTTAAAAATTGAAAAACTGAGACCAATCAAGTATGTTTTCCACACTTTTATTTCTACTAAATGGAAACAAGGGAGAATCATTTTATTTATGTGTCCCTGTACATCATAAACACAGCAATATTTATATGTATATTATTTAAACAAAGATTTTAAAGGGGTCATAGGATGCTACATGCACTTTTACAAGTTGTTTGAACTGAAATGTGTGTTGGCAGTGTGTGTACACAACCACCCTATAATGATAAAAATCCACCCAGTGTTTTTTTTTAGTCTGGTTAAATGTTTTCCCCTTTCTCAAATCGAGCCGATCTCAGATGCCTGTCTGTGAGACGTCACAAAAACAGGCCCCTCCCACGATAGTTTGATTGACAG